CCTGTTCCCAGTTGCGCTCCCTGGCTCTGTCCCAGTCGTTGGTGTCTTGCTTGCGCCACGGGGCCCCCTCTACGCCTTTGTTGCGGTCGCGGTCTCGGTCGTGGTCGTGCCCTTCGGCGCGGGCCCGGTCGCTGGTTTCTCTGGGCGAGCGCCTCGCCGCAGTCTCGTGCGATTCCCAGGGAACTGGATCCCGCGCCCTGCCGCGCAGGCGCTCTACCTCATGTGCAGGGAGGGGGTTGAGTGCGGGGCGCTTGTCTTCCGGGGCTTTGGATCTGGGCCGCGTGTGCAGGGCGCGGTCGTCGGCGGCGGCCGTCGCGCGCGCGGTCGGTTCCGTGGGTGCGCAGGCTGGCTGGGTCTGGTACGTGCTGCTTGAGTCGCGCTCGGGACTCCTGCGTCGCTCGTCACGAGGGCTCACCTTGGCTTGGCCCTCCTCGACTGTGTCGGGGTCCGAGGAGGGAGAGACCGTGTGGACCATGCTCAAGGCCTCCGCGAGCCTCTGCTTCCTCTCTTGTTCCTGGTCGTCGTCGGTCCAGTCAGGGTCCTTCTCCTTAGGGTGCGCGAGGGGTGCCGGCTCGTAGGTGGGGTCTTGTGTGTCCGTGCGCGGCGCGCAGGGTTCAGGCTTGGGGTCGGGCTGAGTCCCTTCTGCGGACGTCGCGTTGGCGCCCCCGATGTCGACGCCGAGCCAGGAGCTGGCGGGGGCCACTGGTGACTGCCCCTTGCCCCTTGCAAACGAGAGACGGGGCGAAGTGCATCCGCGCGCGTCGTTGCGCGCGCCGAAATCCTTCAAACACTTCGGGCTCCGCGGGGGTTTCAGCGCCGAGTGCCCCGAAACATTTGCAGACGAATGTGTCGCGCCACAAATTTTCAAACAAGCCTGCGCTCGCGTTCTTGCGAACTGTTGAGAACACAATTGACGTTCCAACATGCTCAGTGCATGCTGCCAGACGTGCCTATCGCCCGCGCATGCGTGAATCATTTGAACGCTGTTGCGCGCTCTGTCGCACTAATCCCGAGCTCCGCCGAGCAAGTTCTGTTGCGAATGGGTTAAACAAACCCAAGTACCCCGACAACATGCATGCACATGGTTTTGCTCCGGCAGTTTTCCAGCGAAGGTCTGCGCGCGCTCTTGCGAGCTACGAAGAAAACACTGGGTTTTGTGTTGCAGCATGTTCACCACATTCGATAAAGCGGGCCTCTCGTGCCGCGTGTCGAAATCATTCGCGCGCTTGCGTTTTTTTTTTTTTTTTTTTTTTTTTTTTTTTTTTTTTTTTTTTTTTTTTTTTTTTTTTTTTTTTTTTTTTTTTTTTTTTTTTTTTTTTTTGTTTTTTTTTTTTTTTTTTTTTTTTTTTTTTTTTTTTTTTTTTTTTTTTGTTTTCTTTTTTTTTGGCGGGGGGGGGGGCGCGGTCCACCTCAAATGATACCATGCTTGCCGCTTGCGCGCGTCGGCCGCGCGCGCATGTCGAACACGTTCCAAAACCTTCATCACCGACGCGCGGGCGCCTTCATCGTCACCGGCGTCATTAGCATCGGCGCCGTCATTGGCCTTGCCGTCGTCATCGTCATCATCGCCACCACTACCGCTGCGATTTATTGTCGTGTCTACCGTTGTCGACGTCGCCGTGGTGCCGAGCCCGCCCAAACCACCAACTCGCAGTGCAGTTTCCGCTGGGAAGTGCCCAGCCGACAGCGCCACCGCGGCCGCGTCGGTCGCGCCAATCTAGCTGACCGTTGTGCGCGCGAACAGTCGCGGGCTAGTGCGCGATCAGTGGAGTTGGCAACTCGAAGTTCTTCAGAATTCATTGCGCCGCAGATGTTGCCCACGTAGATTGCACCGCATTTGTGCTGCGCCATGTGCGCTGTGCAACGTGGACCACGCGACATATATATATATATATATACATACATATATATACACATACATGTGTATATATATATATATATAGTCCCCCCCCCCCCAGCGACCCCCCAAAACGCCCAAAACACGAAGCCGCGGTCTTGAGATGCTGGCACCGAACAGCCGCAGACACATGGTCTGTCACAGCGGGCTGTGACCCGAGAAGTATTCCTCCTCATCTTACTCTCCCTCATCCTCCCCCTCCTCTTCCATCTCCCCCCTCGCCTCCTGCTTCTCCTGTTCCTCGTCCTCCTCCTCCCTCCTCCCTCGTCCTCCACCTTCTGTTCTTCCTCCTGGTCCTCTCCTTGTTGGAGAACGTTCGGAGCAGAAGGTTGACGGGGGGCAAACCGTAGCAGCGAAATGTTCCAAGACTTGAATGGTTCCCTTCGTGTCCCCTGTTGTCCCCTCGTGCCCCCCTCATATTTGCCGGCGCCTGAAAACCAGAAAACCAGGAAAACATGTGATACGCAGTGTTTCGTGACCTCCGAGCAAGAAAGCATCGTGTATCACTTTTTTTTTTTTTTTTTTTTTTTTTTTTTTTTTTTTTTTTTTTTTTTTTTTTTTTTTTTTTGTTTTTTTTCTGGTCTGGGAACCAACGAAATATTG